TGATGAAGAACATGAAGAGTTTTAAACTTAGATCAAGGTGTTTTACCATTATAACAAGCTGAAAGATGGAGTACTTCACGTTTTTGAGGCCCTTAGAGTGTTCTTGGATGAATTTTTTAGAGAGAGAAAGTAGAGAGGGAAAGTAGAGTGCAGCCAAATGAAAGGGATGAATGAAGAGGGTCACCTTATATATATAAGGGTGAGTGTGCGGCTGGAGGGTGGGTGTGCGGCTGGGTGTCCGGCTGGCTGGCCGCACACGCGGGTGTGCGGCCGCACACACCTTCTTTGGTGTGTTTGGCCCGATTTTGTGATGCTACACACTTTCTAACCCTTCCCAAGACTCATATCTAGGTTATACTAAGCCTAGAACACTCATATATACCCACAATTTCGTTAAAAGATAGCAAAACGAAGGCTGACACTCGGCTGAGTTGAATAGCTGAACTTTACAAGACAAGGATTTTTGGGTTGTCACAGTTGTGACACTTCTAATTCCCCGCCATCATCTATTACGGTTGATAACAAGACCACCGTGAACCCGGAGTTTGTGGAGTGGCAAGCCGCGGACCAACACGCCCTCTTTTTGCTTCAAGCATCTCTCACCGAATAGGCATTTTCTGAGGTGGTGGGTCTCTCCACCGCCCGTGCAGTTTGGACGGCTCTCGAGTCTGGCTACGGAAACTCTTCTATGGAGCAGGTTTAGAATCTTCGTGATCAACTCCATCTTCTTTCTAAAGGTATTGCTTCTGTTTCGGATTATGGTCGTCGTTTTAAGGCTATTTGTGATCAACTTGCGGCCATTGATCATGCGGTTGATGAATCGGATAAGTGTCATTGGTTTTTATGTGGTCTTGGTGTCTATTTTGAATCCTTTTTTGTGGCGATTCGTGCGTCCCTTCATGCTCACCTTTTCAGTGATTTGCTTGCCCAAGTCGAGGGGCATGAAATGTTTTTACCTCGCTTCATCGTTCGTCGTCGCCTCCCGTTGCTTTCACTGTCGAGACTCCTCCCGAACGCACCTCCTCGGTTGTTGGGCGAGGTCATGGGGCTCCTCGTGGTGGCGGCGCTCGCGGTGGTCGTGGCCATGGGCGTCGTTCCCCTCATTGCCAGTTATGTCGTACCAATGGCCATTATGCAAATCAGTGCCCGCAACTGTCCTCGTTTGCCTGTTCGGCCCCCGTGAATGACAGCGACTTGGTGAAAGCCTTTCTAGCTAAATGTAATGTCAATAATAATCCCGGCCCGAATTGATATGTTGATTCCGGTGCCTCGGATCATATGGTGTCTTCCTCGGGATCGGTTTCTCAATCCGCACCGTTCAATGGTGCTGGTTCGGTTCAATTTGGTAATGGTAATACTCTCCCCATTCTATCTATTGGACATTCTTCTCTTGCTAATGGAATTCGGTTACAGGATGTGTTAGTGGTTCCCCATCTCTCGAAAAATTTACTCTCCATTATCCGGTTAACTTATGATAATGATGTGGATGTTCTTTTCTCCAAATATTATAGTGAAATTCAGGATCGGGAAACGAAGCGAGCTCTAGCTCGCGGACGATGTGATCATGGACTTTACATTCTTCCTAATAAACCAGTGGCGCATGCTTTCTTTGCTCGGAATGGGTCGAAGGCTTCTTTTGAGTTATGGCATTCCCGTTTGGGACATGTGTCGTTTGACATGTTTTGCCTTCCAGTCGGCCAACCCTCCTTTGTGATAATAACAGTGCGCTCTTCCTCACCCAGAATCCTGTTGCTCACAAACGTGCCAAAAACATTGACCTTGATAATCATTTTGTTCATGAGCTCGTTGCATCTGGCAAACTTATTACTATGTTCGTTCCAACCAAGCTTCAGGTTGCGAATATCTTCACCAAAAGCCTGCCTCCACAGCAGTTTGAGTAGTTTCGTCGCATGTTGCGCCTTGGTCCACCACCTGTCGCTTGAGGGGGATATTAGACTACACTTATTTGTATTACATTTGTATGTCATTTCTTATTCTTTGAGGGGTTTATATGTAATTATCTCCACTATATAATGAGCATAACCCCCATGTATTTTGACATGGAGATTCATTTACACACTTCCAATCTTTTATTTTTCCCTATTTAAAGCCCCTCTCAAGATCATTGAAGAATTAGAAGGAATCAGAAGAAGGTTTTTATGGGGTGCTGGCTCCCCAAAATCGAAAATTTGTTGGATTAGTTGGGCTAAAGTTCTCACTCCAAAGTCTAAAGGAGGTCTCGGTGTCATTAGCCTCAGGGGAGCTAATTTATCCCTTCTTGGCAAATGGCTTTGGAGATTAAAAGATGATCCAACATCACTATGTGCTAAGTTAATTCTGGCACTGCATAAATCTTAGCGGGTTTGGAAATTCTTCCCGGTTCGATTGGAATTCACTGGTGTTTGGAAAAACATCATAAGTATTACCAAAGACTTTGTTGTAGGTAACATTCACTTCCATGAGTTGCTCAAAAAAGAATTGGGTCGGGGCAACATGACGTCTTTCTGGTTAGAGGATTGGTTAGGGAGTGGCGTCTTCAAAGATATCTTCCCGGATTTGTTCAAACTTGAATCAAGAAAGCATTGTACAATTTCTCATAGATATACAAATTTTGGTGACACAATTAAATAGACGTGGGATTGGAAGAGATCACCAACATCGGATATGGAGAAAATGGAACTATCATGTTGCACCTTAATTTTGCAAGAAATAATTCCCAGCTTCTTGAGTGATAGGTGGATTTGGTTGGCTGATAACTTCGGTGCATTCTCGGTTCGCTGCCTTCGGCGGCTCTGGGAATCATATTCATGTGAGGACTTACCATACAAGCATTTTTGGAACAACTTGGTCCCTATAAAAATTATTCTTTTTGGTTGGAGTGCGGCGCTCGATCGCTTACCTTACAAGGTTGAGATAGCTAAACGTGGGATAGTTGTACCTTCCACACTTTGTGCTCTCTGTGACAATGCGGAAGAAATAGGTACCCATTTATTTTTGCAGTGTTTCTGGGTAAAAGAAATTTGTGCTTTATTGGAGATTTGATGTGAATTAAGGGTCTCTGAGATTAACTCTCTGGATCAGCTTTTATCTATATCACATGCTTATTTACAATCCCCGTTACAAAAGAAAATCACTCATGCCATAATTATGACCACTTTATGGTTCATCTGGAAGGCAAGAAATGGAATAATCTTCAAATCGATGATATCATCACCGGTTCAGGTTGTAGCTGAAATAAAAACAAACACTTTTCTTTAGATAAAAAAATAAAGGTAGAGGATTCTCTATAATCTGGAAAAATGGTGTTTTTTCCCATTCACGATTCACTAATTGGTTGGGTGGGTGGGGGCTGGGAAGCTTGGTATCATTTGGCGTTATGTTTACTGCAACAAGTGTGGGTTTGGTGTGTGTATCAGTTCATTGGGTAGATATAATATACGTTTTTGCTGCAGTTTAAACATTTCTTTGGGGTGTGTTCTTTCGTGTTCATTGGGTTTCGGTGGGAGGGGTTTACACTTGGTGTTGGCATGTGTTTTTTTGATTGTATGTATATCGTTTTGGTGGTCAATTGAATCCGTTTGTATTGGGGTTGTAGTCACAACTTGGCGGAATTCATATTTACAAACAATGTAAATTTTTGGTCGATTATACACATGGATGGAATCATGGAATATTTTTGTCAGAGATCGCATAGTGAAGACCTAGTGTTTGATGCCGAATCGTTCTTCATTTTTCTCTATGGATAATGTTTTTGCCGCAGAATTCAGGTGGAATGTAATTACCCTTCTTGGCTAACCGATATTGGTCACTGAGTCTTTGAAGTATTGGACTTCTGTTATGTTAATCATCATCTTCTTCATTCTTGCTTTAGTTTAGTTTCTGCAATTTTGTTTGTTTTTTTCTGTTTCTTTTGTTTATGTTTTCATATACTCTTTGGTGGTCCAGCTACCCGCATGTCACTCTCTAATAAATTTCGTTGTTAAAAAAAAACTATATATTTGACTTTGTGCAAAATATTTATGGGCAATATAAACATAGGACCAAATTAACGTGTCCATGACATATGACTTGTACTGCAATCAGTTTTAGAAGCTCCTTACTCTTGAGGAAAAAAAAGTATCCTTCCACACGAGCTTTTAGTTTTTGGTTAAACAAAAAGTTTCAAATGCAAAAGCTATTTTAAATTCAAAAAAAAAATCTCTTCTAAATTTTAATAAATTAAACTCATACCTTTTAAAATAATTAAATCATATCTATATGATAATTATCTTATATAATTAAATATAAATATAATTTAACAATTAATTTTTTTTATTTAAAATAATCATATCTATGGATTTTATAATTTATTAATCTTCATCTAATAAAATATTAAATATTTATTTATGAATTTACAAATCAAAATTAATATTATACAATACTATTGTTTTTTAGAACACCCAAAGACTTGTAAAAAAATGTTTGTTTGGGTTCTTACAATATTGAAAAAATCTTTTTACTTTATTTATAAAAAATCATCTTGTACTAATATGCATAAAAAGGGTTTTACCAAATGAGAAGTTTAACCGGTGTATTTGGTATTAAAATTTGGATGGTATTTAAATTTTTATAAGTATAGCTTTGAAAAAATAATGGGAAAATGACACTGTATCACACTAAAGTTATGACATTTGTCCGATTTGGTCACTAAAGTTTTTTTTCCACATTAGATCACTAAACTTGTATTTGACCTGTTAAGTTAGTTATTTTCCCCGATTTTAAACGGTTTCCCGGTTGACATTGTATATGTGTCAATTAATATTTATTTTTTGGCTAATCCGATGACACGTGAGATATGTCACGTCAATAAATGATATATGATCTTCATCTGTCAACCTTCATTCTTCATTTTTCACTGTAAAAGAAACTTATCTGAGCTTTCTGAAGCATTTTTGTGATCATGCTGAAGTACCAAAGAAGTCGCTGCAATGGCAGAATTGGAACCTAGTTGATTGTTTGCGATGGTGGAACTCAACTACCAAGGGGTATTTACTCGTAATCCTTTCTCTTACACTGGTGGTATGAGAACCACGTTCAATGATGTTGAATTTTCTTCTATGACTTATTCTGAGTGTGTGACCTTCTTCGAACGTTTCATGCATGAAGATTGTAAAAAGTTATACTACTACGAACTAGGCATTTCCCAGATGGAAGGGCTTAATCCCATCTCAGATGATGTGAAATATGTTGCTTTTATTTCTGATGCTTATGGAACAGATGGTGTAATTTCTTTTTATGTGGATCATATTGGGGTTGGTGTTGATGGATGGTTTGATGATGATGGACGTGAGTCTTGTATTGATGGTGAAAATGAAGATAACATAGATGAACTTAGGAATGTTGAGTTGGAATTTAATGAGGATATAATGCATATGAATAGGACATTAAATGATCTTTTCTTGAGTAAGTTATGTGTTGATGAGGAGATGGATAACAACATTATAGATGATGATGATGATGATGATGGAGAGCATTTGAACCTAGTCTCCACACTCATTCCATATTTAATGAGTTATTACACTGGAAAAAACAAAAACCAATTCTAGGAATGAGATTTAAGAGTCCAGGGCAAGTAAAATCAATATTGTGCAACTATGTTGTGGCTAATAGATATCAGTTGTGTTTTAAAAAAATGATAGGAAAAGACTTTTGGTGAGGTGTAGTAAGGGTGCTTGCACATTTAGATTATGGGCTTCTTGGATGAGTGATGAAGAGAGTTTCCAAATCAAGTCACTAAAAGCTGATCATGATTATGCTAGGAACTTCAAGTTAGGATCACGGGTGACATATGCATGGACTGTTAGTCACTATACCAAAGAACTTGTACAGAATTGGAAATTGAGTGTAAGGAAACTCATGGTTAAGGTAATGACCAAGTTTGGTATCCAAGTTACCATGAGGCAATGTAGGAGAGCAAAGAAGTATGCATTAAACCTTATTGAAGGTAGTCTTCTTGAACATTATGGTAAATTGTGGTCATAAGATTATGAGATTTTAAGGACAAATCCAGGGCCAATTGTGAAACTTGATGTGGGACTAGTTCAGATGGAAAGAAGTATTATAGCAAGTTTTACGTGTGTTTTCAAGGAGTGAAACAAGGTTGGAAAGAAGGTTGTAAAAGGATAATAGGTCTTGATTGCTATTTTATGAAAATGGTTTGTAAGGGAGAACTGCTTTGTACAGTTGGGAGGGATGCAGATGACCATATATATCCTATTACATGGGCAGTGGTTTGTGTGGAGAACACGCAGAATTGGAAGTGGTTTTTGGGTTTGCTCATTGATGATCTGAATTTGAATTTAGACAATCGATACAGTTTAATGGCAGACCAACATGAGGTTAGTATATTATATAGTTATACATTTCAATTTTTATTTAGGATTTTGACCTATACCATTTTATTAATATAGAGTTTGATTGAGGCTGTTAAAGAGTTGCTGCCATATGTAGAGCACGGGTAGTGTGCTAGACATATTTGCCAAAATTTACATAAGATATTCATAGGGGACATCTATTATACACTGTTTTAAAGAGCATCTAAAGCTACAACTAAGAATGCATTTAAAGTTGTGATGAAATAAACTGAGACATTGAACCCAGATTCCCATTATACCTTATGCACAAAGATCCAAAGACTTGGTCAATAGCTTTCTTTCAACCTGGCAGGTGTTGTGATGTTGTTGAGAATGGCTTATTTAAGAGTTGTAATGTTGTAATTGTAGATTCCAGGAAGAAGCCTATTATCACCATGTTAGAAGAGTTAAGACTGTACATGATGGATAGATTGTGAAACATGAAATTAAAAGGACAACAATAGGGAAATCATATTTGTCTAGAGATAAGGGATAAGGAGAATTTACTTTAAAAAGTTCAAAGACATTTTCAAGTACTACGTAGGGGATTAAACCAATTTGAGATACAAAATGCAACTAAATTCCAATTTAGTCTGACTTTAGAAAAAATACAAACAAGCTTCACATCCCAATACATACAACATACCCTAATAGATACACCAAAAGCCCCCATCCAACATTCTAACTACTTGGATAACTTAAAAACACAAAACACCAACCCAAGAACCAGAAATACAACCATCATCTTGTACCTACATATTGTCTTCTTGGAATCAGACAGCTCGTTCTCAATGTTTCCTACCACACTCTTCTCCTTAACCAGGAAAAACTCCAATTCAGCAATCCTATTCCTCAAGTTGTTGTTCACACCAAGATCCTCTTTAGCATCCAACTTCTTCTTTAGAGAATAAAGGAGGTTTTTGTAATACCCTTCTTTCATCTGTTCATTTTTCCATTCAAAATAATCACATTTCTTTAGGTTAGTCTGTAAGCAATCCACATGAAGACAAGTTCAGACAATAAGATCAAAATGAAATGTAATCACCAAATGCACTTTAACAACCTTCAGTAGCACGCTAATGCATATATTTTCAGGACATCAAAAAACAAATGCACCAAATGTACCAAATGTAATCACCAAAATGTAATAAATCACCAAATATGATCATGAAATCACGACACCAAACCAAAGTCAGTAGACAATATCAACAACATATAAAGGGTAAATTTAGGGTTTTTTTCGAAATATAAGGGTTGTTGATGGTGACCCTGAAAATTCTTGGATTAAGGAATCGAGCTACATCGGAGCTTACCATATTGTTTCGGTAATTCCAAAAATACCTTCCAGGGTTAGTGAGTTTCCAACAGGTTCCTTCCTTAGCTGAAACATCACCTTAGATCCATTAAGAGAGAGAGAGACAAAGAGAGAGAGAGAGAGAGAGAGAGAGAGAGAAAGAAAAAAAAGAGAGATAGAATTGTATTTTGTGAGTGAAAAGTGAGGAGGCGAAGGCCTCTAATTATAGGGTCGATTTTGATGTGCAAGCGGCGTAAATATATGTGCAAATCGTGCACGAGCATCCTAGATCCATCGGAAACTTGTCACATGTCACTTTCCTGGTGGTCCAAGTCTATTATATCCCGAAAGATCTACGTGTCAAAGGTGTACATCGTACGTGTCAGAGGTGCACGTCGTGGAGGTCCAAGAAACCAAGAAAACGATCAAAACCGACGAAACCGAAACTGAAAAAAACAAAACCGAAGTGAAATCGAAGGTTAGGGTTTAAAATTTAAAACCAAAAAATCGGTTTCAATTACTGTTTTACCTAGAAACTGACCCAACCAAACCAAGAAACCAAGCCATACATGAAACCGAAAAATGGACCCATCATACGTGTATATATATATATATATATATATATATATATATATATATATATATATATTCATGATTAAATTCACCTGAATACACTAGGCTGAAATAAATCATTCAAGAAAAACCCCAAGAACTGAGACAAGTCAGACATAGATATTAACAATAATTCAATTCTCCTGCCTCCAAAATAAATAAATTGATTCTATCTACATCCATAAACAACAAATGATGTCATTAATTAGGAGTAGTTTAAGCTTCTTATGTTGTTATGGGTGAAAAATACGAGGGAAGCATTAAAACCTAAAATCCATGGGTTTTAACCCATAACCCATGAGCATATGGGTTGAACCCAAGAAACAAAACTGACTCCAAAAACTGAGAAACCGAACTGACCAGAAACTGACCCTGTTGGGTTCTGAAAACCAGAAACCGATCATTTTCGGTTTGGGTCCAAAACTGACCTGAACCAACCCGTACACAGCTCTAGTTATGATAATGCATGCTAGTAATATAATAAGCCTTAATTATGAAGTTATGATATAAGAATGATTATATAAAAGATGTAAAATGCCTTAACTTATGATACATTGTTGCATGTTTACATAATGTGAAGTATGGAAATAATATGCCATATAATATTATTAATAGAAATTGAGCATGATTACTTAGGGAGGTTGGTTGTGTAATCCTTATGTGACAAATTAATAATATGTTAATTAAAAAGGGGAATACACGTTGTGGGGCGTAAAGGGTATCAGCCTAGATTAAGGTGTATACCTTATCCAGATACCTGGGAGGGCCTTATGGGTTGAAAGACACCTAAAAGGGAAAGAGCTTAAGCCAATAGTGACGCCAAGTGGTTTTTGTAGACGACCATTTGGGACATGGTTCATGGTAGGGATGACCTTTAGAACCGGACCGGTTCGGAACCGGACCGGTTCGGAACCGGAACCGGTTTTCCTATATTATAAGAACCGAGAACCGGACCGCCGGTTCTAACGCCGGTTCCGGTCCCGGTCCCGGTTTTTCGGTTATTTTTCAAAGTAGAACCGGTTGAAAAACTATAGATTATATGCTATCTTCCGGAGCTTGTAAATGATTCAATATTTAACCAAATTATGACTTTTTACATTCTAAATTGAAGTACAAACACTAAATTACATGATGAAAAAAGAATCAAGTAATTCCGACTTCATATGAGTGAGTTATGCGCATTTTAAAAGCGGGGACAGATTCCAAAAAAATAAAAAATGTTGAAACAGAAAAAACGCAGCACTGATATGTTGTCTTCCGGGGTCTATTACTGATTCAATATCTAACCAAAATATGTGTTTTATAGTCTAAAATGAACTATAAACACCAAATTACATGCTGGAAAAAATTTAAGTAATTCCGACGTCATATGAATGAGTTATACACATTTAAAAAACGGGACAGATTCAAAAAAACAAAAAAATAATGCTGAAATACAAAAAACGCAGCATCGATATGCTTTCTTTCGGGACATGTGTTTGATTCAATATCTAACCAAAACATATGTTTGTACCGTCAAAAATGAATTACAAACTCCAAATTACATGTTGGAAAAAAAAATCAAATAATTCCGACTTCATATGAGCGAGTTATGCGCATTTTAAAAAATGAAAAAAATGTCAAACCGGTTCCGGTTTTTAGAACCGGGACTAGTTTTTATAAAAATGGAGAACCGGTAACCGGACCTATTACCAATTCCGGTTCCGGTTTCGGTCCAGTTCCAGTTCAATTCCAATCCGGTTCCGGTTCCGGCGGTTCTAATGCTCATCCCTAATTCATGGACATTAAGGTACTTGAGGACTGGTGTGATATTGGTCTAGTGATGGTGATAGATCAAATATCACATTTAGGTGGGAAGTTTCTAGTGATGGGAAGCAATGATAAGTACCTGTAACATCCCAAAATGTCAAGGTAAAATTTCATTTTTAATACAATCGAAAACACCAATTTATCTATTACTCAAAGACTTAGAAGTATTTTATAAAAATAGTTATCAGAGTAAAATCCCAACATCACAAGGTTGTGGAAAAACATGGTTGTATGCGCTGCGATCAGGCTGGGCCCTTCCCTTTCAAACCAGAAGTACATGAAACCATAAACAAACAGTAAGAACAAAGATTAATGAGTTCCGCAAAATACCACATACCATACATATCATACATACAATAGAAGGTGCTATATGCCAACCATAGTCTTGCCATTATGCCCCGAGCTGTATCATGGTCTTTCCTTGCCAGGCCGAGGGCCAAAGCCCTGGGTCTTACAGACAACTGCCAGGAGCCACCTCCTGGTCTTCCATGCAAGCATCACAAATACAACAAGCATACGATCTACAACCAACTATCTACTTAGTTGCCAGGGTATGAACTCTGGTCATGCATACGGAGTTGCCAAGAGCCACCTCCAGATCTTTCATACAGTGCCAAGGGCCACCCCTTGATCTTTCAATAATACATACGCCAATGAGCCGACATTGGTGCCTTTGACCTATAGTACAATGAGGAGACTCACCTCAAACAGATGAAACCCACGAATAAATTTCTGACTGCATATCTGCTAAAATCCCCGCACTATCAATTACAAATAACATCCAACTAATAACTGGGTCCTGACTCGCACTAAGAGTCCAAATTAGGGTAAAATACCTTTTTAACCTTCCTCTAACTTGGCCCAAGGCCAAGGCCCAGTCTAATTTACCAAAAGCTCAAAATCTAAAAAAATCATCCAAAGCCCAATTATAGCCCATTTTTTTAAATTGGGTCCAATCCCTTTCATGGGCCATCTCCCAAGAAAATCAACAAAATCTCAATAGCCCAACCATGGAGTTCTGATGGCCTAACATGGCCCAAGACAACCAAGCCCATCCTAGCCCAAAACCGAAGCCCAAAACAACAAAACCCAAACCTGCTGAGTACGCGGGGCGTACTCAGCCTGTACGCTCAGCATACTGCTTAAAGGGCATATACGTGCAGCGTACATGCTTGTACTCCCCACGTACTCACCAACCTGGACAACTTTTCCATTTTAGCTCTTAACCCATTAAGACTTCGATCCAAACTCAGATTTGACTTCCTTAAGGTGGTTAATCACATCAAGTTGCCAACTTTATGTGCATGCATGGCTTAAAGGGGCTCTAAAGCTCAAAAGAGCTTAATACATGAATTAATACTTTCATGGAACCAAAACCACCATAAAGTTTGCACCTTTATGCCTAAGAAAACCTTAACAAGTTTAGATCTACAAAGATAAGCTCCAAAAACGACCTTGATTCACAATCACCAACTAAGGGAACTAAAATGACCAAAAACATGCCAAGAAGTAGATCTAAGAAATGAGATGACAAGCTTTGAACTATATACCTTACAATCCACAAAATGAAGGTGTCTAAGCTAGATCTCAAAGCCCTCGTCCAAAGAATGAGTCTTCAAGCTTATTCTTTCCCCTCAAGATGCACAAAATCCTCCACAAAAACTTCAAAAGAACTCCAAAGCACCAAACATAGGCTAAGGAACGAATTAGGGTTTTCAAGGATGAGGAGGTTGGTTAAACAAGGCAACAAGAGGCTAACTTATGGCTTAAATAAGGTATAACGCTGAAAAGTAGGGTTTTCTTATCCCCCTCGTACGCCATGTGTACCCTTCATACACCTAGCGTACGAGACTTCAGACCTGTAGCCATCTTCCACTAGTATGCTAAGCGTACCCATGAGGTACGCCCTGCGTACTAGCTTTTCAGCTAGTGCGCTAAGCGTACCCTATGGTACGCCCCACATACTACTTACAAGGGTCAAATTGTAATTCTTTTAATTACGAAGGGAAACTAGGAACATATCCATTTCCAAGCATTACAACTCTCCCCCACTTAAATTAGATTTCATTCTCGAGATCATTCCTTATCATCCCAAGCACACCAGACAGCTTGAACAACGCAATCACAACCCCAAGCATACAACAGCCTTCCCAAAGGCAACCGAACCCAACCTTAGCAGAACTCTCCAAACCCGATGATGAAAGAATCCTTAATCCCTTGCAGAAAACCACTTCTACCTTACCCGAAACCTGAAATCTCCAATTGGTTTAACTCCCCGAAATACCGCCCATACTGAACCACTACCAGTTCAAATCCTCATTGAATTCCAAACTAAACAAGACGTTTGCAACCCTTGCTAATCTTGATGCTTCTAATGAGAGCAAAATCACTGATAATTCATTGATGTAGAACACTTTTACTTAATAGAAAGCTCCGATAATCCATCGAGTAAGAGACTCATCCCTGCAATGGTTAGACTCAAACGAGAGTTGTGCAACAAGGTCAGATCGCTTACTTTGAGATTATTTAATCCAAGCTGCAAGTGGCTAGCATATTCTTCGAATAACAAACGACTCCATACACGAATCCCAAATCACTAAT